TGGGGTGGTGGTGAAGTAACTGAGATCTTCATGAAGTCAGCAGCTCCCCAAAAAATAACATCTGCTTTCCATTTTCAGGTAATCTGGCTAGGATATTTCGAGCCACTGTACACCCAAGAAATAAAAATCTGTTATCAACTGCATCTCAGGTATATACAACTTTCACTAACTTAAGCAATTATTCTCATAAAACGGATTGGTTCCTCATAGCTAAACATGGAAAGACTTAGATGGGGTGGGTAGGGAGAGGGAATGCAGTAACTCCCCCCACTATGGAATTATGTCGGTTTTTTTTTCTTTTGCAAGGTAGCTCCTTTGAAATGAATGGTGAGCTTATGTGAGGCTGGTATGAAGTTTGGTTTTGTTCTCACAACAATATTGTGGCCACTTCTTTACAGAGTCTCTCATAAACTGTTAATTCCTGCCAAAACTAGTATATTTTTCATGAATGACGTCATCAGCTTTATTGGCTAATTTGCAGGTTTTTTTTTATTGGATTATACAAATCTTCTTTTGTGTTATTTCATATTTTTCCAATCAGGCCATGATGTCAGTCCAACAATCAATTACCGAAAAGCTAACAAAGGAATTCAAGGTACTTAAGGTGGTTGGTTTTATTAACCTTTTTACACCCTAACATCAGTATGCATATTCTCCATACTGTTCACTATACATTTCTTAAGGTGCTGAAATGTAGAATTTGCTTAACAATCAAGAGCTTCTTTAGTAGCTGATCATTTCCTTTTTTCTCGTAACTTCAATGTTTGATTCAGGAGTGATATTGTTGGAAGAAATTAGATTCCAGTCACTAATAGGAGTCAAACAGTTAACTTCTGAGTATGTTTATGACTGCAAAATCAGCAATGTGTTACAATGTTTTTTGTTACAGCCTGTCTATTTAGATGTAATGAATGAAAGTTACATGCATAATGTTCCAAAAGGTAAGCTTTACTTTCACTGTTGACGGTAAGCTCGTACCCTTCTTTTAGTCGTTAAATATAGCAATACAAATATTCTTGGAAGCTCGTACAATTTATATGGATGAATTTAACCCTTGACTCCCAGAGGTGATCGGCATGTAACTTCTCTCAGCAACATCTATACATTATTCAGCAAACAGGGGACGAGAAACCTTAACTTATTAGGTAGCAGTTGTTACCTTGATCAAACACCAAATTCTTGTAACTAACTTACAAAGAAATGTCTTGCAGCCAGAGGGGAGAATTAACTATACAATCATGGTAGTTAAAGGGTTAAAACCCTACAAGTCATGATTACGAAATTGGATCAGAGTAATAACATAACTTGAAAGATAACCTGTTAGGCAAAGTATATCCCAGCTGTTCATTATCTCTTTTACACCCTAACATTAGTATACATCTTCTCCACACTGTTCTTTATACATTTCCTAAGGTGCTGACAAGGAGAATTTATTTACCAATCAAAAAGTTCCTTCTCTGGTGACCATTTCCTTTATTCTCATGACCTTAATATGTGATTCAGGGGTGATATTGTTAGGAGAAATTAGATGCTGGTCACTCTTAGCAGTTAAAGGGTTAACCCCTTGATTACCAATCACACTGAGTGATCTAATGCCAATGCAAATTAATTTATCATTTTTCAGAATTTTTTAACTTGTGTTGAGTTTTAAGGCAAGAATGTTTTGTGTATCCAATGATGGAGATCTGACTGTTTCTCTCTAATTTCCAATGTACTGAGTTTATTATGTAGGCACATAACATGAAAATTAGGTGACATAATCAGTACATCACAAAAGTTGTGAAGGAGTTAATGTAAATGGTGTTTTTTGGAATTTCTCAGGTTCAGAAACCCATTTTAAGGTTGTGGTGGTATCTTCAAATTTTAATGACACACCGTTAATTCAGGTAGGAAATCATTTTGATTCTGTTGTAGTTTTTAATCCTTTATACCCTAACATCAGCATGCATATTCTCCATACTGTTCTCTATACATTTCCTAATGTGCTGGTGAGGAGAATTTGTATAACAATCAAGTGGTTCTTTGTAATCAGTTGATTATCATTTCCTGTATTCTCATGACTGTAATGTTTGATTCATTGGGGATATTGAAAGGAGAAATTAGATACTGGTCACTCTCAAGGATTAGAGGGTTAAGTGGTGGTGAGAGCTTGAGATTTATAATTTATAGATAATGTAGTCATTAAATTTGACGACTGTGAAAATAGTAATCGCAAATGAGCTTATTTTAAATCTATCTTTTCATCATTGGACCCTTTCACTCCCAGGAGCAACAAAGAAAGAATTTCTCCCTACAATATCAATGCATTTTCAAGCAGTATTGTGATGAGTTGAAAGAAAAATTAAAACTAGGGACACTTGTTTGATTTATGCACAGGTCAATTTTAAGCTTCAAACCCCCCCCCCCC